GAACCCACATAGTGGAAAGAGAACCAACTCCTGCAGGTTCTGCTCTGACCATACAGGTACCACACACACACAATCAAAAAATAAAAAGGTTTTGAGCTTTATCTTTGCTCAACAGGGTTGTGATGTCAAACTTTTTTCTTGGTGCCGAGGATTGACTTACCTAATTTTAAGCAGGCGGTCTGCTACCTTACTATATTCTCAGTCCTTTTGTTTTTATTTTGAACAGGGTCTCACTAAGTTTCCCAGGCTGGCCTAGAATTTGTGATCTTCCCTACCTTGGCTTCCAGAGTAGCTGAGGTAACAGGCCTGAGGCACTAGGCTTGGCTGAAATTAAACATTGTTAGGGGGTAACTAGGTTATGTGCTATTATTATGATTTATGATTTTTTTTGTGTATGTGTGTGGTGTTAGGGATGTAACTCAGGGCCTCACTATAATAATAAGTACTCTCACTGAGTGATCCCTTCCAGCTGGACCCTACCATGTACTTGTGAAAGTTGAATGAATTACGTCCAAGGAGCTTTTGATGGTAAACGTTACATTTTCAGCTATTTCTGACTTTCAATAATACATAGTGTTGTTTCCCTTTAGTACATTTCCCCCTTATACCAACCCACAAGTCATCCATATAAGATACACCAAGGTTCTGAGAACCTAAGTGTTTTGTCTAGGGACTCGTAGCCAGTGTGTGCCTACTAAGTGCCAATGCCAGGCATATATAGATGCTTACGGTATGAGAGTCCCACTAAAATTAACCTCAATATCAAGTCTATGATATTTAATGATCCAAGTCACTCTGAACCCCCTAGGCCATTTCTGCACTGTCAAGGTGTTGGGATGCCACCTGTTCACTTTTCCCAAGTATGTGTGTTAACTCAGAAAGAGAATGTGGGCACTAGGAAAGATTGTATCTTATGTACCAAGCACTGGGTGAAGCACTTTATTGAAATATCCATTCAAACTTCTCAACAGCCCCGTGAAACCCATATTATCATCATCACCACCATCATCCCCATCACCACTACCACTACCATCATTATTATCTGGGTCACTGGCATCCTGGGACTGAGCCCAGAACCTCAAGCATGGCAAACATACACTCTACTACTGAGCTATAACCCCAGACCTAATACCTTCACTTGATGAGGTACTACCAAGTGAAGGTATTAGGGCTGGGGTTATAGCTCAGTAGTAGAAGTGGGAGAAGTGAAGTAACTTGTGCAAAGTAGTTTAGTTGAAAAAGAGAGACTTCTTAGTTCCAGAATTGAGGTTTGCATGATTCCCACTGTACCTTACTCCAAACACAGAGTATAAAGTAGAAAGGTGGCCTATGAAAGAATCACAAGAATATTCTTTTCCATAAAGTTTGGTGGTTGCAAGAATATTAGACATTATACAGTTGAAGTATTTTAAACAGGGAGTGGTGGCTCATATCTGTAATTCTGGCAATTCTTGGGAGATTGAGGTAAGAGGGTTGCTGTAAGCTGGAGGCTAACCTGGGATATATAGTGAGTTTCTAGCTGGCCTGGGCCACAGTGTAAGATCTTGTCTCAAAAAAAAAACAAAAAAAACAAAAAAAACAAACCAAGTCAGGCATGGTGGTGCATGCTTTTAATATCAGCACTGGGCAGGCAGAGGCAGGTAGAGCTCTGTGAGATTGAGGCCAGCCTGGTCTACATATTGAGTTCCAGGCCAGTGGGCTACAGCTGTCTCAAAAAACAACACTAAACCCAGAAACCAAACCAAACCAACCAACAAAAAATACTGAAATATAAATATCTGGAATTTTAACTTTTACAATATTGACTTCTACTTGATGGATAAACACCCTCTGTTAGAAAGTTCGGTGGTTAATAAAGCCTTGTTAGGAGGAGTGTGCAAAGGGCAGTCCCTACACCCCATCCTGCCCAGGTTCTGGTTTTGTGAGACCCCCAAAAAGCTAAAAAGAATTTTGTCCATTTTTTTAAAAATTTGAAAAAGAAATCTAAAGAATAACATTTCATAACACATGAAAAGTACATAAAATTCATGTCATTGCCCACAAATAAAAGGTTTATTAGCACTCACTCAGGCACATTTGTGTATGTTGTCTGTGAAGGCTTCTATGTCCCAAGAACATAGCGGTTGGTTGAGAAGTTGTGACAGACTGCATGGTGTACAAAGCCTATGATATTTACAATCTGAGCTTGTGCAGGAAAAGTTTGTTGATCCATTCTATAGCATTTACATATTCACACACACTCTGAGCATGGATTTTTTTCCCTACAACATTCTGAAAAAAAAATTATTTTTTCAGAAAGAACACTAAGGCAGTGTTCCCTTGGGGAAAAGTGTTGACAGCCTGGGATGACTTGAAATGACACCTTAAGATTAGGGTTCTAGTGAGGGGTGAGTCTAGCTTGAAAGGCCCACTCCCTTCCTTCTTCCATCATTTTTAATACATTAGTCAGTTCTGAGTTGGAAAGCTGAGTCTTACTACCCAATTGGTCCTTTTGTTATTTATCCTGACTGCATTACAGGTTTAGTTTCACATTAGGAGTTCACCCAAGCTTCTTGAATCATTTATAGGAATTTTCATTTTACCCTCCAACTCTTACACACTTTGTGCTGTGGATACTTTTTAGCATAAAGCTCTGACTACTAAAGGCCTACACATTTGAAATAAAGTCCACACTTTTTTCTTTTACTTTGAAGCAATCGGAATTTTAAATAAATGCTTTCTATTAAGAAGCTAAACAATTTTGCAGATCCACAGAAGTAAGAAAATTACCTTCTTGTGCAATGATCTCAAAGCCCCTCTGGTGGAAACACCTAAGATAAAGGATGTGTACTTATTTTTCAACACTTTCTTGGAGAAAATACTATTTAATGGAAAATAAGTGTCCAGTAGCAAATCAAGTCCAAGGCTATTTCTGTTCTGCCAATGACTCACTTTGACTTTGGGCAAATCATCCAGCCACTGTTGCTCTTTATCTGCAAAAACTGGACTTCATGCCTATGGGAGTTGCATGGCTAATCAATGCCTGGAAAATGCGTAGTGGCAGATGCTACAAAAGTGCTGAGCCTTAAAAACAAAACCACCCCCACCCCCATTTGTATTCAGTTGGGGTTGGGGTTTATTGTTATTTAACATACGAAGGCTTACACTACGTGAAGTCCGGCGTGCTGCACAGAACAGATATCACTGCCCAGATGGGATTTTTTTTTTTTTTTTTTTTTTTTTTTTTTAAGATTTGGGTTTTTGTTTTTTTTTTTTTTTTTTTTTTTTTTTTTTTTAAGAGCTAGGGTTTTGGACTTTTTTCTTTATTGTGGTTGGGGGTTATTTTACAATCCAGTAACGCTCGCGTACAAAAACATTAAGCTTTAAGATGAAAACTATCGATTTAAAAATCTAAATAAACCTCTTCAAGGTTTAAAAAAAAAAAAAAAAGGCCCTCCCCGCCCCGCCAGGAAATCTCTCAAAACAAGAATTCTTCCGATTTTTTTTTTTCCTCTTCCCTCTTCTCTCCCCTCCCTGCAGTTCTCCATGTTACAGTCCTTGGAAGGTGGACTAGGCATAAAATACTTTTACTAATAAAATATGACAAACCGCCGGATTATACGTGGCCGATTCCCAGTGATTGCCCTGCTACACAAAGCAGAAAAGTAAATGCCATCATCCCCCCTTAGAACAAAAGAACTTAGGAATAAAAAACATGGAGAGAGAGGGAGAAAGCAGCAATAAATAAAGGTGAGCGAAGGACCCCGTTCCCCGCCCCTCCTCGGAGCTAGAGTGGGACTCAGTAGGGCTAATAAAGTGGTTCAAGGGTAGTTATTTGGAAAGGGGGCGGGGTGGCAAGGGGAGGGAGGGCGAGCGGCGGCCCGGGATTGCATGTTGCATTCGACTTGAGCTTGCATCTTTTCTCCTGTTGCCTGGACCACACGCTCCCCCATTGCAGTGCAGCCTGCTCGCTTTCTTCGCTCCTGCTTTCTTTCCACCCCCCACCCCTTCCAACTGCTGTTGCACTGGAGGGAGTTGGGGCCGCTCCTGAGCACCCCCGGTGCAGCTCCCGCGGGCGGGGAGAGGGGGGAACTTGGGGCTCGGGCCGCGGAGTTGGGGGGCTGGGGGGAGCCTCGGCAGCTCCGGCCTCGCCCGGGCTGCGGCTTGCATGCGAGCCGAGCTGCAGCGCTGCAGCGCTGCAGCGGGCCGAGGAGTTTGCCGGCCGCGGCCGGGCCCTTGCACCGCCTGCTGCCGCCGCTGCACTGGAGTTTGGCTGCTGCTGCCCTACTTCACTCTAGTTTAGTTTCACTCACTTTACATCCGGGTTTTTTCCCTAGGCAATGGGTGCCGTAGCACACCCCGTTCCTTAGGCAAAGTGAAATAAATTCGCCGCACCGACACGTCAAGTAGTCCGCCCGC